ATATGGTGATAGTAGAACTGTATGATGAAGATGGTGATTTCGTGGCTAGAAGAAGAGAGACACTCATACGTGAAGATTTGATTGACTGATTTGTAATTCACATTTTGCTCGCATGCATGCCTACAATAATAAGTATAAATAATGGTTGTTTTTAATGGTTTTTGTTACAGTTAATGGTTGTTTTCATTTTTCAATGTTTTACATGATTTTATTACAAAATTCCACAGCATGATTTACATTGCAGGCTTTTGCAGCATGCATGTGTGGGAGATGGGGAGTGGCAATCAAAATGGCTGGTATTCTAAGAAAAAAAGATCTACTTCTTACACCAGTACTACTACGTTCTAGCATTATTAGTCGTTCCTATGGAGCTAGTGCAGGGAAGGATGGGAGGGTTAGGATCGGCTGTTCTTCTGGTTTTTTAGGTAACACGTCTGAGTCTGCGTCTCGTATCATGGTGGTCTCTGGACTTTCTATTTGCTGATTATGTCCCTACTGGCTGGAGTTAAAAGAAACAAACCAGTAATGATGCATTTCCTGCACATGGTGCATAATACAGCTCAATTTTATTTCATTTCCTAATGCAGAATTGCACAAGTCATGTTTGTATGTTGTGTAGCAAGTTTGATCACATTTGGATTATTTACAAATTTTTTAATTTACTCAAAAAATTGGACAAAACACCCTGTACAGGGTCATTGGCAAAATTTTTCTAATTAATATACAGTTTTTTATGTTGTTTATTGCCCTTTGTAGTGCCGTTAGATGGTAAGGAATGTCTTGAGGACATAGCTTATTTAAGAAGTGGAGATAAGGGGAATACCTCAAACATTGGTTAGTGTTTATGATAAATTGTGACATTGAATTATGTGAATAATATTATTATTGATAATGTTCACATGACTCAAAGTCACATGACTACCATATATGTAACTGTATTATGTTACATGTACTGCATGTGCATTCCTTTTTCCTTCACAGGTGTGGTAGCAAGGGATCCTCAGTATTATTCTTACTTGAAAGATCTTTTGATGGAGAAAGTTGTAGCTGAATGGTTTAAAAAGTGTTTAGAATCTTTGGAAGATGAAACTATTTATTACTTTGTGACAAGGTAATAGCTTCTCCCTCCCTCTTTCTCTCCTTTTCACCTAAAATGTGATAATTTTCACATTAAAATGGGTGGCAAGTTTCACCAAAATTTTTAGCTTAGCTGATAACCATTTCTCAAAATAAATAGGTAGTTACTAGTTACACAAATTAGTGTTTAAGTACACAAGCTTTTCTCTTTGATAATTGATCCACGAGTCCTTATGCTTCCTTTTTTCTTTGTCAAATATGTGTTCAAATTTTCACCTATCTCTTTTCTCTGCAGATATGAGCTGCCAGGTGTTTGTGGTCTCAATTTTGTTCTTCGTAAGTCCCTGGGTGGATGAGGTATCTCTTCTCTATGCAGTGACCCTCAGGTAAGACATATATCAGTTTCCATAGCAACCATTATTAATTGATTAGGTTGAAGCCTATGGTCAAAGACTAGCAGTGTTACCTTTAAAAACAAATTAATGTATCATTTTAACCTGTTTTTATCTGTTATGACATTGAATTATCATCATGAGCTTCATAATTGCATTATTTGTTTCATGTATGAGCATGAAATGATGACAGTCAGTAGTAGACTATACCTCTAAATAAGTATAGGTTATACACCGAGGTAGAGGTGTCTATGGTAGAAACTGATACTGAGGTGTATAACCATCATTAACCGACTTCCATGACATTTGAAAACAACTGCCAGCTGACTTCTATCATGACATTTGAAAACAACTGCCAGCCGCTGATAATAAGACCACAGTTGACATACATACAACATATCTGTATCCACCTAAATAATTGTAGATGTGGGTCATTGTGGGAGTAGTAATTTCACGAGTAATTAGTCATTATACTGTTACCTAAAGTTACTTAATCACTACATTTTCTATAGATTCAACAGATAAGTGTACTATTGCCTCTGCATTGTGTGGCATTCAAAGCTATGATGCTCTTCACCATTGCTACTGGTCTCCTTTTTATTGCAGCCTTTTCAGGTCTTGGACACTGTGAGGAGTATTATGTCTCATCCAGTACTCTAGAGTGTACTGGCAACCTGCAACCATGCCACAGTTTGCTCTTCTATTTGAATGATTCTCAAGAATACTTTGTCGATGATTCCGTTTTCTATTTCATGAATGGAACTCACATTCTTGATGAGCATGAGCTACTGGTTATTAGAGATGTGATAACCTCAC